GGTGCGGCTTCCACTGTGGCAGGGCTGTGCTGGCGATGATGCCCACCCAGCCGCCCAGGGCCAGGAAGTAGCCCAGGAGCTGGAGGCCCGAGTTGGCCATGTCCCAGGGGAGGCGACCGAGGGTCCCAGGGCTCAGAGCTGAGCCAGGGCCTTGGGGGGCTCTGCAGTCATGGCCAAGCCAGAGGAGCAGCCCGGAGAGAGTGCCAGTGGTCGCGGGCAGAGAAGGAGAGGTGGCGGGCTGCAGCAGAGAGGCAGCGGCTCTGTGCTCCAGAATGCAGGGGGAGGCCCAAGAGCTGGGAAAGGCCAGGGGCCCGCCCACAGCAGCTGCCTAAGCCAGGGCAGGGTCCCCAGCAAAGCTCTTGCCCAGCTCCCTAGGGCTGGGGGCGGAGCCATGACCCAAACGGGTACCCCTACCCTCTGTCCCATCCTGGGTGGGGGTAGAGAAGGAGGGGCTGGGAAGAGTGGTCCTCCCTCTTGCCCTGGGAAACCCCTTTAAGAAACTTGATTCAAATGACCTAAAATTCTCATACTCCCTACCCCAAGCATCAGCCCTGAGATGACAGACTGGCTTTTGCAAGGCCAATCTGACCCTTGGGGGTTCTGTCCTCTGACTTTAGGACAGAGCGGAAAGGGAATTCCAGTTTGCAGTAGGTAAAACCGGAGTTGCCATCGGGGAGAACTTTGGGGCAAGGCTCTGAGGCCAGACGCGGAGAGATTGGGCCGGCACTAGAGTATTGGGGAGAGGGGTCTTGGGGACCTGGGAGCAGTGTGCATCAGAACAGAGCAGGCTAGACCAGGCAATGTGTACGGTGGGGTCTGTCTGAGACCAGAGGGAGCAGAGGGGCCACATGAGGCTGGGCCGGTGCTGGCTGCCAGCCAGCGAGGGGCCGGCGGGGCGCTGGGGAGACAGCACCAGCCTCAGACATCAGCCTGCAGGAGGGCGGATTGCTCCCGCCTGCCTGTTAATCCCCTTGCTGGCTGGGTTCGCAGCTCCTGCTGGGGCCTGGACTCTGGGCCCAGGCCCTCAGCTCCAGGGCAGCCTGAAGGGAGACAGTGGCCTCTGCACTTTCTTGGGGTTCAGGCTGCCCCCTCCCCTAGCACCCCTTCTCTCCCCATCAGAGCTCAGCCCTCGGGAGCAGGGAATGTTTAACTCTCCTCACCTCATTAGCAATCCCCTCACGTTCGGTTCAGCCCCATGGGCTCTCAGTATGGGCGCAGGAGGAATGTCACCACCCTGCTCCCACTCCCACCAGTCCCCAGCCGCCCCCTCCTGCCTCCTCTGGACCGCACTGGGGGGGAGGCAGGGTCCCGCTTCCTGGCCGGCTCCCTGCCCCCCACAGCCTCCGCCCACTCAGCAAGCATCAGTCCCCAGCCTGCTGCCCAGATCCCTGGCATTCTTCACGTGGCTATGCAAACGAGAGGGTGCCAGGCACGGACAATGGCAGCCCTGTGCGACCGCCTAGGGCGTGGGCTCTGGTATGGCCTGCAGCTCCGGCCCAGAGCGGAGCAGTCTGCCCTCTGTGGGGTCCGGGTGGGCGCTGTTTGGCCCGCAGTGCAGCACACTGGCCCCCTCTGAGGTCCTCTGCGGGGGAAGGTCAGAGGCACACGGATCTGTGTACACACAGACTCACGTCCTAGCGTGGCCTGCAGGTCCCCCAAAGCAAACGAGGTCCAGAACAGTGGCAGAGTAGTCCCGAGTTCAAATTCTTCTGCCACAGATAAAGACGAGACACTAGGATAAAGGTGAGCGGAGAGGGGGGACTCCCAGAGCCCCTGCGACTGGTGTGTCTGTGCATGAATTCACCTGCTCCTCCAGGCAGCCTTCTGGGCTGCCCTTTCCAGCCCTGCCTAGGATTTTTTACAGATGAGCAGACCCTGGCTGAGGGCTACCTCGCTCTGGCCAGGGAGTACAAGGAGGCCTCCCCACTGGGTCTGGGCAGTGCTGGCCCCCACAGTCTTGCCCCCATAGCCCTGGCTTTCAGAGGGAGGTGCTGGGGTTCAGACCAGAAAGAGGTCGGGAGTCGGGATGCTCCCTAGAGCTGTGCAGCCTCAGTGTCTGGACCTCTAACCGGAAGAACCCCTTCATGGAGTTGCTATGGTGACAGAGGTGAGGACACCTGGAGGAGGGAGGGGCTGCACATGGCCGCTGCCACCTCGTGCTGTTCCCACAGTGAGGCCCTCTCTCCCACGCTGGACCTTGGCCCCTTCTGGACCCCTCCTGAAAGGATACTCACAGTAAGAAGGGGCCAAGGGTCATTCTGGCCTCAGGAGAGCCTCGCCAGTTCTCAGAGCCTCTGGAGACTCAAGGCCACAGGTGCCCTGAGATCTCATCCCTTCAGGTGAGGGAACTGAGAGTCAAGGGGTGGAAATAAATCTCTGGCCCTGGGGCCCCCTGGGCACCCGGATGCCTGCCTGCTCCTCCATCCTGAGCATCCCCAGGTCCTCCTTCATATCGGGGACCCAGAGCCTCCCTGTGGTCAGAATGGCGTTCACGGATTCCTGGTAAGTCCTGCTAACCGCTCCTCTGTGCTATTTATTTAGGTGTTTGACCTAGGGTGTGTGTGCTCGCTGGAGAGAGACAGAGAGAGGGGAAGTAAGAAAGCACCCTGCAGGAGGGTTGGCCACACTGTAATCCCTTCTCCTCCATTCTCCTCTCAGGATTTTGGGCATGCATGCACATGTGCCCGGTGTGATTTTTCAAGCTGCCAGGTCCAGGACTTGAACTGTGTTCAGCTGTGTGGAAATCTAGCACCTTAACCACTACGCCAGTGCTGGCCCTCCTCTGTGCTATTTGACGTTTTGGGTCTATTTTTCCCAGCAACCCTCCCTCACCAGTGTTTCAAAACCTTTGGGAATTCCCATCCTGCCTCTGGAGTGGCTTTTCCACCCAGGGCACCTCCCTACACTCCTGGCAGGCCCTGCAGTCCGCTGACTCCCAGGAATGTCAGGAGGGCAGGAAGGCTCAGGGTCTGGCCCAGCTCTAGTGAGAGCCAGCTGAAACTGCTCTGTGGAGGCCTTTACCGTCTATAAGAAGCTACTGTGTGGCATTTGGAAAGTTCCTCAGCCTCTCTGGACCTGATTTTTCAACTGAAAAAAAAAAAACATAGGATTAATCCCTCTTGCCCTGTCTGGTTCACGAGGGAGTTTAGGACCAAATAATGGGCGAGAAGTGTAGCTGGAGAAGCAGAAGTCCCCAAAGAGCTGAGGCTCATGAAGGCTATTTCCTTTTTTTTTTTCTTTGTAGAGGTTTTTGCTGTAGGGTGTGTGCGTTCGCCAGACAGACAGAGAGAGACAGAGAGACAGAAAGCGAGAAATCACCCCCCAGGGGGGATGGCCACGCTGCAATCCCTTCTCCTCCATTCTCCTCTCAGGATCTTGGGCACGCGTGTACACGTGCCTGGCATGAATTTAAGCCACCGGGTCCGGGACTCAAACTGAAGTTGACTACATGGGAGTCCAGCGACATAGCTATTATGCTAACTGCTGGTCCCTAAAGTTAAATAAATAAATAATTCTTTTAAATAAACAAACAAAAACAATAATTTCCTGACTCCCCATCTCCCTCCAGCTGCCTGCTCCTGAAGTCCGTCTGCCCTCTCAGGGCGTGGGCTGGCTGCCTGTGGCTTCCCCGCCACAGTGCGTGGCCCAGAGTGGCCTGAATAGGAATGTGTTGATGATTGACCGACTGGTATGAGGAGCAAATGTTTTTGCCTCCCTCCCAGCGGAAACCCAGGGACCTTTCCAACAGCCCCCTCCCATCTCCAGCCAGGAGGGTCTGATTCGGCCAATCGCCATCCTGCACATTCTCTGCAGCCACCGTCTGAAACTTCAGAGGCACAGGATGTGGCGCTGGTCTGAAAACCTCCAACTCAGAATCTCCTGTGGAACCACACAGGCTCGGAGCAGAGATGACTCGCCTCCGGCCACACAGCTAGAACGCAAACAGCCAGCGAGGTGGCCGCCCGGCCACCCTGCCTGCCCTGGCCTGCAATCCCATAGCACTGCGTATTCCCGTTCTCGGTTCTCAGTGCCTGCTGTGCCTTGTCCCAAAGCCCCTGAGCTCCTGAGGCCACTAGCAGCCTGGGACACAAAATGCCTCTGTGGCAGCCTGGGGTGCCCCCTCCTCTGCAAACATCGTTGAGCACAGGGTTTCTTGGTGTCCCTCCTCAGAGTCCTGCCAGCTGCCTGGAGCACCAGGCCTGATGTCTTCCATACCTAAATCTTGCCCATGTTTGCCGAGTTGCCTCTCAGCCTCCTAAGAGCCCAGTCCTACCCCCCCAGGGGCTCCCTGCATCTCAGGCAGACCTCACCCACTGCCGATGTGCCTCCGCACGTGTGCTACCAAAACTGCAGTGGCGTCCCAGCCAGGACCCTGCTGTCACCCCTGCTTCTGGGTCAGCATGCCCAGCCTGATCATATACGCTCCGGTCCCGGTGCTGCTGAAACATCTGGCCTTCGTGAGCTCCCCCAGGGCAGTCTGCTATATGTACTCAAGCCTACGTAGTCACTGTAAAGGTCATCTGCCTCAATGTGGAAACTTCTGGAAGGTCAGAAGCAGGCTGCTGTAGGTCTCTGTAATGGTGATCACCAGGCGCTTCACGAGCTTTCCCTTGTGAGTGCTCTTGACCATCCGGAGGTGGGACTGGAATCCCACTCACTGCTCAGGAAATGTGCTTGGAGGTGAGAACTTGCTGAAGGTCACACAACGCCCAGCGGTGGGAGTAAGCCTCACCAGCTCGGTGCGTGTGTAGCCCGCGCTCTCTCCACTAATGTCATCTCTGTGAGGCGAATGAACCATCCGAATAGGACATGGGGATCAACAAGGCTGGACTGAAAGCGTGGCCAGGCCGGCCTCTTGGCCTAGTGGTTAAGAGATCCAGATCCTGGGCCAGCAGGGGGCATAGTGCTTAGTGCGCTGGACTCCCATGTGGTCGACTGCAATTTGAGCCCAGACCGGCAGCTTGAAACTCCTATCAGATGTGTGCACGTGCGTGTGTGTGTGCCGAGAGGAGAGTGGAGAAGGGATTGCAGTGAGCCCATCTCTTCTGGGGGGTGATTTCTCACTTTGTCTTTCTGGCAAGCACACATAAACAAAAATCTCTTTAAAAAAAAAAAAGAGATAGCCAGATTCCACATGGCTGACCAAGGTTCGAATCCCAGTTCCAGCAGTTTGAGAAACATACTGGGTGCATATGTGAACCCTAATTCCAACAGGATGGAGAATGGATGAGAAGGGGTGACCACAGCCCACTGGGAGTGCTTTCTCACTCTTCTCGGATGAGCGCACATGCCTATGGCAATTGAAAATAAAATAAAATAAAAAAGGCGTAGCGACCATCTTAATTAGATCCTTCCCATCAGTATACTAACACACAGTGCTATTTCTCAGCTTGAGAAAGGCTTCCCGACTCCACATCTCCCTCCAGCTCCTTTCTGCCCTCACTTTAAGCCAAACTCCTGACAGCTGTCTGTGCCCCATCACGGCTTATTCTCCATGTTCCCGTGAACTCATTACAGCCTGCCTTTCTTCCACGCCGTTCACCAGAACGCCCCTTGCCAAAGTCCCCACGCTCTCCAAGTTGCCAAATCTCTTTTTCTTTTTTTTTTTTGGAGAGGTTTTCGCTATAGGGCGCGTGTGCTCGCCAGACAGACAGAGAGAGACATAGAGACAGAAAGCGAGAAATCACCCCCCAGGGGGGATGGTCACGCCGCAATCCCTTCTCCTTCATTCTCCTCTCGGGATCTTGGGCACGCACGCACATGCGCCCGGCGTGAGATTTAAGCCACCGGGTCCGAGACGCGAACCGCGGTCGACTACGTGGGAGTCCAGCGACATAGCCATTACGCTAACTGCTGGTTCCTTTTTTTGTTTTTTTAATTTTTTTTTAACTTTATTTATATTAATTTGACCAGAGGGACAGAGTGAGAGAGAAAGTGAGAAAGCAAGCTGCCAGGTCCAGGATTTGAACCACGGTCGGTTATGTGGAGTCCAGCTCCCTTAATCACCATCACACCACCTCAAGTTGCCAAATCTCAGTGAATTCTCTGGGCCAGTCAGTGGCGTGGTGGTTAAGGTGACTGGATCCCACTTGGCCGAGTGTGCCGTCTGAATCCTGGACCAGGTGACTTGTAAAACACTGGGCACATATATGTGCATACCCCAAATCCCAAGAGGAGAAAGGAGAAGGGATTGCAGTGGGGCCGTGTCCCTTGCGGGCTGCTTTCTTTCTTTCTCCAGGAGGCAGGTGGCAGAATATAAACTGCATGGGCTTTAGGCTGCGAAGACCTAGGTTCGATGTCAGTCCCTGCTCCTGTGTGTCCCATAGTGTCACCGTAACCACGCTGCATATCCCCTCTGTGCCTCGGTTTCGTCCTCTGTAAAATGAAGCTAATGTAGAAGCTCAGAGGTGGTTGCAAAGATGACGAGCACATGCCTTGCCCAGGCCCCCTTTCTGAGTACTGGGCTCCTACCGAAGCCAAGATGGAATTCTTCCTTGACGGGCATTTTCACATCTCCTGAGGATCATCAGAGATGCTGACCCGGAGATTCACGGGGCTGGGGTGGGGGAAGCCTGGCCGTGCCACCCTCAGAGGGACTACTGTGCCTGGCAGGAGAGGCCTGCGAGCACAGAAGTGAGTCCCAGACCTGGTGGCTTGAAAATATGGTAGGCACATGCCCAAAATTCCAAAGGAGAATGGAGATGGATTGTGGCGTGACCATCCCCCCGGGGGCTGACTTCTCTTTCTCTGTTTCTCTTAGCGAGCATGTGTACCCTCTATCAAAACTAGTAACAACAAAAAAAATGTAAGTCAGATGCTGTCACTTCTGTTCAAAACCCTCCATGGTCTGCCACCAGGTAAAAGCCAAGTCTTCACAGTGGCTGAGAAGGCGCCGAGACCCCAGCCATCCACCGCTCTCCTCGTCCATTCTGTGCCATGCTGGCCTCCATGCTGTTCTTCCCATCTCAGGGCGTGACCTGCTTTGTTTTCTACTGGAAGGGATTACACACACACACGCACACACACATCTATGCTTATGTGTTTACTGTGTCCCACATCAAGATGGGAGCTCTGTGAGGCAGGGTCTGTTTGCTTACGGCCCACATCCTGCCCTGGGCACTAAGCTGGCACTCAGAGAACACTCAGAACACACAGGTTCCTACACGCACTGCCCAAGCCCCGGAGACAGCAGGTGCTCTGGGCCGGGTACCAGGACTATGGCCGCAGGAGCCGGGTCTAAGTTCCACGCGTTCCGCCTCCTGGAGGTGCACCCCTGCACACAGAGACCCGAGGACGGGACTGTGCAGCCCAGAGCAGGAAGCGTGTGGCTGACTTGTGGCAAAGCTCCAGAGCACTGCTGACCCGCTGCTATGCGCCAGAAACAGATTAGGATAATCCGGACCAGTCGCCCAGAGCTTTACCGCTTACAAAGTGCTGCTGCATTGGAGGCTGCATCTGGGCCACAGCTGCCCTGGGAGGTGAGCAGAGAGGGCCACGATCCCCATTATACAGATGACAAGCCCAAGGTTCCCGAGGTTGTGTCTGGGCTGAGGCCACACCGGAAATGGCCAAGACAGGTACCGAGCCGGGCCTTCTCACACGCCCCCTGCTGCATGTCCCCCCTGGAGTGTTTGTGTCCGGGCCTTCTCACACGCCCCCTGCTGCGTGTCCCCCCTGGAGTGTTTGTGTCCGAGCCTTCTCACACCACCCCTGCTGCGTGTCACACCTGGAGTGTTTGTGTCAGGTGAGCCCTCGGCAGAGTGGCCATACTTCCAGTCTCTGAATGAACCACCGAGTAAAAAACACACATCATTTATTCTTGGGTTGGCTACACAGACACTTAAATACCGTATTGCTGTCACGCAGTTGCCTGTACCGGCCTCAGCGTGGCTCTGGGCCTGTGCTCCAAGCCCTCAGCCCAGTCCAGAGGGGAGCAGCATCCCGCCATGTCCACTCCAAGAGCAGTAGCACCAAGCAGCAGGCTCTGAGCAGGGTCCCATCAGCCAGCCAGCAGATGTAAGCCCCCTGCTCTGAGGGGCTGAGGGGCTGAGGGGCTGGCCAGGCCAGGGCGCAGGACAGGGCTCCTCCTTGTGGGTCCAGTCACCCATCCTTGTGTAGCCTGGATGCTGTCATAGCTCATCCCTGGGCTTCGACTCACGGTCCGAAAGAGACTCTGCTCCAGGTGTGGGGGGGTCTTGCTGAGCGTCCAGGGGCTGCTCCTGGGGAAGGTCCACTTCTTCTGGGTTGAACAGCATCTTCACCAGGTCGTCAGCCTGCACCCGGTCCTGCAAGAACAAACCTGCCATTCAGAGAGGCCTCTGGACCAGGCATGCCCCCTCTCCCTGCTGCTACCCCGAGTCGTGGCCTCAGCGCTCATCTCCTTCCCAGCAGGCCCTCCTCTCTGAGGAGAGCTGGGGTCGGCCTGAGGAGGAAACCAAGAACCCGGCATCGCTCCCCATCTCCGCCTCCCAAACCTGGAGCCCCATTTTTAGGAAAGGAAGAAGGTCCAGGGAGGACAAGGAAAGTGACCATGGGGCCAGGACCCCCAGCTCAGCACTGGCAGCAGGAAGGAGGGGTGGGAGCAGGCCCGGCAGCGTCCCCTGCTGGCTCTCACCCGCTCGCTGTGACGAGGGTCCAGGGTGAACCACAGGGCAATGGCACAGCGCTGCCCTCTGGTGACAGCCTTCACTCCGTGAGGGTTCTCGGTGCCCGAAGAGAATCCCACGGCCCGGCCACACTGGGGCTGTACCTCTGCCTAAAGGGGAAAGAAGGGTGTCCATAGGCCACCCTCAGGAGAGATCGGGCTCACGGCCAGGATGGAGGCTCCGCAGCCTGGCTTCCTGAAGGCCAGAGCTGGAGGAAGGGGGACACAGCTCAGCGTCCCTCTGCTGTGGGCGGGGTGCTGGCGAGAGGAAGCCAGCTGGTCGCTCTGGAGACTTCCCTGGCAGGGGGCAGGGTGTGCCCCGCGGATGAGGACGAGGACGTACTCACCGTCACCGTCTTGGCATCAAGTTCAGTGAAGTAGAAGTTTCCTCCATCAAAGTCCCCATTCAGGTAAAGGATGGCACTGGCAAAGGCAGAGGCGTGTCAGGGTGGCCCTTCTCCACCCGCTCCGCGAGCCCCTCGCCCCCACGAGCTCGCAACCAGCAGCTGGGGTCGGCCTGGTGTGGGAGAAAGCCTTCCTTCCTACACTCGCCCTGGGGAACCATCACACCCTCTCCGGGTACCAAGTCCCTCTGCACTGTTGTCCTCTCAGCTGAGCCGTATTGACTCCGCGCTGTTGGTCTTCCTGTCCGGAGGCAGGAGGGACCAGATGCTGGGAATGGCTGGCTCCTGTGTGTGTATGTGTGTGTGTACACGTGTGCGCGCACGCACGCACAGTGGGGGCGGGAGGCAGGCTGCAGGCACTGGGGGCTCAGAGGGAGAGCTGGCACCTGTAATCCCGGAAGGTGTAGGCGGGGGGCTCCTTGACGCACACGAGGGTCTCGGCGTTCAGGATGCAGTTGTCCACGTGGACCGGGTGGCTGCCGTCCTTTCTCTCAGCTTGTGCCTCTAGGCCAAGGGAACGCATGTTAGTGCTGGGACTCCTTAGGGGACATTGTGTCCTCCTCTTAGTGGGAAGAGGAGGGGGTGCTTCTCCAAACATGGCTGAGCCATGTGCTCAGGGGTCAGGACGAGTCTGCAGGCTTCCTGGATGGCTCCTGGCGTGGCAGGCAGGGTGCAGGAAGCAGGATGGGGGCACTCCAGCCAAGGGCAGATGTTGGGGGAATGCAAACTCTGGTTTTTGTCAACTGTACAGAGCAGGAAGGCCAGTGCGGCAAGGGGAGTGGGAAGCAGCCGCAGGCAGTGAGGAGCTTGCTTCACCCTGGGGGTGGGTGCAGAAACCACAGAGAGAGGTCACCGAAGAGGACGAATGAGCCATCTGTAACATGTCAGGAGACACGTTCAGGACGCCAAATACACCCTGCCCCAGTGTAAACGCTGGCATGCCCGGAGTCATGGCGATGCCTTATCCGCCTGTGTGTCCAGCCAGCCTCAGGCCTGTCCACCCACCTCCTCAACCTCCTGTGCCTCCCCTTCTGTCTACTCCCCCTGCCACTTCCAGAGCTTAGGCCTTGCCTTTGCCCACCTGGGCCGATGCTGGCCACCTCCCCTGACAAGCAGTCCTCACCAAGCCCTTCACTGCCTGAGCCAGCACTCCCTCACCCTGGGCCAGGGACACGCAGTGCCTGCTGGACTCCTCTGAGGGGGCAGAACTCCCGACATCATAAGTCAGAGAAAAGCCCTGATCCTCGCCACCCACCAAGGGCGCATCGGTGCCAGGGGCCTTGGGAAGGCTGCAGCATGGCGAGCCAGCTGCAAGCACGGGCAGGAGAGCAAAAGGGGTGTGAGAAGGTGCGAGGAAGGGGAGGGGACAAGGAACGGCCTCCCATCTGCTAGGGTTGGAAAGTAAGCAGCTCCCTCAGCGTGGGGATCTAAGGGTTAGTGACAGCTCGCGGCATGGGTCCCAACTGATCTGAAGGACCACAGATAAACTGTGTGAGGCTCTGTAACCCGGCCGCCTCCTCGGTTTCCCCGGCTCTGGGCTGCCCGGCCTACATCCCTTTGCGCATGCTATTTTCTGACTTGACCGTCTTCCCACCACGCCAGTCGCCACACACGTGCTCCCCCTGCCACCTGCCTGCCTCGCCGCCCCGGGAAGCCAGGGGGGCTGACGAACTCCCTCCGTGCTACCCTCACCATCGTGCTCGCCGCCCTGGTGGCCACCTAGATGTTTGCGGGGCTTCCCAGCCGGGATGAGAGGGACCGTATCCCGCTCTCCGCGCCTCCCGGTGTCCAGCGTGGGAGGGCACAGCACTGCGGGAGGCTGCGGGACGCAGGCCCACCTTCGATGGCAGTGCGGCACACCAGGTGGGAGTAGGAGAAGTAGAGCGGAGTGTCCAGGCGGAAGTAGGACTCCATGACGCGCCGCACCTTCTCGGTCACGTTGTAGTACAGGTGGGCGCTCTGCAGAGGGACTTTGCCTTCCTGCCCCAGCTGCCAAGGAGACTGGGGGTCAGCTGCCCTGCATGTCCCTCTGCGGGCCACCAGAGACACTGAGACACCAGGCCGCACGCCACCTCCCCCACTGAGTACACACGCAATCCCTGTTTCCCACGCTCGACACCTCCACCAGGGGACTCTCTCTGCTCTGCTTCACCCCTCCCTCTGGGATTCTTTCCGCTCTCCTTCACCCCTCCCTCTAGGATTCTCTCCGCTCTCCTTCACCCCTCTCTCTGGGACTCTCTCCGCTCTCCTTCACCCCTCCCTCTGGGATTCTCTCCGCTCTCCTCTCCTTCACCCCTCCCCTAGGACTCTCTCCGCTCTCCTTCACCCCTCCCTCTATGAACGGCCTGTGTCCTGCTCAGACTGACAACCCTGTGGAATCGGCCACTAGTCAGAAAGACCCTCAGAGCTCCTGCCATGGATACGGTCGTGCTCGCCTCTTATATCACACTTGGGCAGCGGCCAGGATCCAGGAGTGGGCCTCACCCAACATAACGGGCCCGCCCTCTCCAAGCAGGAAGACACCCTCTGCTTTTCTACCACCATCTCTGCCTCCTCCCCAGTCTCAGTCTGCCCCTCCCTGCCCCTTCTCTGCACCCAGAATGCCCAGCGTGGCTTTACCTTGAGGGCTTTGAAGACGGTGACACCATAGAACTTCTCACTAGGGGTATGCGGGGAGGTCTGGCCCCGGTAACCATCTCCTGACGTAGCTGCCGCCTATGAGCCCCCAGACAAGGAGAAGTTAGTTGGGGCTGCTGAGGGCTCGAGGGGATGTGGTCAGCTGTGCACAGCACCTGGGGGAACTTGGTGGGGGAAGGATCCAGCTGGGCCCCGAGGGAGAAGGGCCATCACTGGGGGAAGCTGGGCCCTGATGGGTAAGGGGCCATCACTGGGGGAAGCTAGGCCTTGAGGGAGAAGGGGCCATCACTGGGGGAAGCTGGGCCCTGAGGGAGAAGGGGCCATCACTGGGGGAAGCTAGGCCTTGCGGGCGCAGGAGCCATCACTGGGGGAAGCTGGGCCCTGAGGGAGAAGGGGCCATCACTGGGGGAAGCTAGGCCTTGAGGGAGAAGGGGCCATCACTGGGGGAAGCTGGCCCCTGATGGGTAAGGGGCCATCACTGGGGGAAGCTGGGCCCTGAGGGAGAAGGGCCATCACTGGGGGAAGCTGGGCCCTGATGGGTAAGGAGCCATTACTGGGGGAAGCTAGGCCTTGAGGGAGAAGGGCCATCACTGGGGGAAGCTGGGCCCTGAGGGAGAAGGGCCTTCACCGGGCTTCCCTTACGTTGGTCAGCCTCTGCAGCTGCTGACACTCATCGGCAGAGATGACCCCGTCCATCACCACCCGTTGGGAGCCGTTCAGGAGTTTGGAATTCATGGTGAGCCTGATGCCTTCGTACAACAGGGGGCCTCCTGCAAAGCAGGGACGAGACTCCCGTTAGAGCCAGCAGCAGTGGCTCCTTCCAGAGCCTCCTTTCAAGGAACAGACATTCCAGTAGTTCCCTGTTCACCAGAGAAACCTCCTGTTCCGTCACTTCAAGGGCGGGATGGTCCAGAGGATAAAACTTGGAGCTGAAGAAGATCCCAGCCCTAGTTCTAGCTCCACCACCAAACAGCTGCTGGCTCTTGGGCCTTCAGGAATTATCGAGGAAACATCATAAACACATTCCAAAAACATGAACTCCAGAGTCAGAAAGAACCGGGTTTGACTCCTGGATCCTCCACTGATTAGCTGTGTGACCTTGACAAATTACTTAATCTCCCTTAGGTTAATTAATTAATTAAAATGCTTCCATCTGTCTAACAGCATCTACCTCATTAAGTCTGATGCAAGTTTGATGTTAAGAATAAGCAAAGTTATAAGCTTAGTAAAATATTTGGCACAAAATAAGTGCTCAGAAATTCTGACTCCCATTTTATCATACTATCATCATTTTCTAAAAGTAAGAATCGTACAGCCTTGGGACTAGCAGTTGGCAAAATGGCTATGTCGCTGGACTCCCATGTAGTTGACTGTGGTTTGAGTCTTGGATCTGGTGGTTTAAACTCACACTGGGTACAGGTACATGCATACATGCCCAAGATCCCGAGAGGAGACTGGAGGAGAAGGGATCACCCTGTGGGGGTGATTTCTCGCTTTCTGTCTCTCTGTCTTTCTGGTGAGCACATGTGTCCTATAGCAAAAAACCCTCCATAAAAAAGAATCGTACAACCTGCCCAACCCGCCTCCCAGGTAGTTATGAAAAAAGAAATAACAGTAAAGGCCCTCCAAAATAAAGGAATGTCAGACAATTTTTTCCCCAAAAAAACTTGCCAGAGGGGCAATCCTTTCTCCTCCATTCTCCTCTCGGGATTTTGGGCACGCACACACACACCTGGGGTGAGTTTCAAGCCACCAGGTTTGGGACTTGGACCACAGTCGACCATGTGGGAGTTCAGTGCCTTAACCATGACACCACCTGCTGGCCCCCGCTGAGGGATTTAAAAAGGTTTTGTAGGGTGTATCTGAGACAACTTCCTGGGCAGAGACAGTGGAACGCATTAGGAGGGGGGACAGCAGCAGCAAAGATTTGGGGACAGAGGCAGACTCGGCAGGACGGAGCAGACTCCCTGGGATGAAAAGAAGGTGTACACAGGAAAGGAGCAGAATAAAGTAAAAGGGGGAGGTTGGGAGGGTGGGGCAGAGTCAGTGCTGGGAAGACTGGCCTAGCCAGCATATTCGGACAGGCGAGGACAGATGGGACGGGCAGACAGTGCAGTTGGAGGTGAAGGGGCCTGAAGCAGGCCAGGGGCAATGGGGGAAATGCTGGGGCACAGACGAGCAACAGCCAAGCAGAGCCTTCCAGGATGCGTGGAGGGGACAGGCCACCAGGAAGAAGAGCCAAAGGAGACCTGAAGGTTTTGAGTCTTGGTAACAAAAAAAATGGTAGAAATTGGGAGAGTTTGGGAATGGGGGAACAGGATGAGTTTTTCCCATACATACTGAGTGAACTAAGCTGGAATTACTGTGACACGGGAGGCATTCTAGCCAAAGGCCACTTCTCAGAGCTCTCTCCCTGCGAAGTCCTGTTAGCAAGTTAGGAGGGGCATCGAGGTGAAGACCTCACACCTGCTGGACTCAGAACCCGAGGGCCCACACCGAGCTCTGAGCTGCCCGTCTGCCCCCACGCAGCTGAGGGCACCTCCGAGCTCCACCCTCTCACCTTCCCGGGTTAGCCTGCTCACATCCAGTGACTCCTTGGTCTTCTCTTCCACGAGGGTCTCGATCTCCTTCATGAGGTTTCCGATCTCCTGGGAGATGCGCACGGCTGTTTCCCGTTCAGACCTGTGAGCACAGCTGCTCTGAGGACCGGACCCTGGGGCCAGTCCTGGGCTCCCACCCCAGTCCCCAGACTGGACCTGCCCTCCCCTGCCAGGAGTTCACATCTGCCTGGGCTCAGGAAGCCTCAAGTGCTTCATCAGACCGATCCAATCATGCAGTTTCTTCAAGGTCCTCACTTCTGTTTCTCTTGCAGTCTCTTGGGAATCACCTCTTCTGGGGTCCATGAGTCCTAAAATAGGTCAGGAAGGAACAAGGTAGGGGAAACCTACTTTCCTTCCAGCCTTGAGGCATAAAACAGGGCCTAAGGGAGAAATCTACCTTTGCGGGGGGCGGGAGGGGTGAAGTGGGAGGTCTCTGAGTCCAGGTCACTTCAAGGTATCTAGTGCTCCCCTTTCATCTGTCTCTCTCTCCTCCTACCCCCCCCCCTTTATTTTTAGGTTTTTGCTATAGGACACGTGTGCTTACCGAGAGAGAAGGAAAGTGAGAAATGACCCTCTAGGAAGGGATGGCCATTCCACAATCCCTTCTTTATTCTCCTCTCAGGATTTTGGACATGCACGTGCACATGCCCGGCATGATTTTTAAGCCACTGAGTTCGGGACTCAAACTGCACCATCAGCCATGTGCGATCTAGCACCTTAACCACCATGCCATCTGCTTGCCCCACCTTTCTGTGTCTTATCCTGGCATTTCCCAGATCTCACATGTGGCTGAACCCCTAAAGCTTTCTCCAGAGTTGTAAGCGTACCCCTCACCCCATCCCTCACTCCTGTCCCCCCGCCCTTCTAGCTTCTGCTCTTTGGCTTACTGGGTCCACAAAGGGAATTCCAAAGACGTCATAAGCGAAGAAAAGCAGTTCTTTTTCCAGCAGGCTTCGCTGTCGATATTCCTGGGCACTCTGAGGACACAAAGCAGAAGGGACCCCCTAGAACTCAGCCCTGTCCTCCAGCCCTCATGGAGCACCTTCCTGGCACTCTATGCTGTGGCTCCCTGTGTGACCTGAGGCCTTTGCCCAACTGTCACTGTCTGTCTGTCCTCTAGTTTGGGACAACTTGTGCCAGGCACAGTAGTCCCTCTGAGGGTGGCACGGCCAGGCTTCCCCCACCCCAGCCCCGTGAATCTCTGGGTCAGCATCTCTGATGATCCTCAGGAGATGTGAAAATGCCCGTCAAGGAAGAATTCCATCTTGGCTTCGGTAGGAGCCCAGTACTCAGAAAGGGGGCCTGGGCAAGGCATGTGCTCGTCATCTTTGCAACCACCTCTGAGCTTCTACATTAGCTTCATTTTACAGAGGACGAAACCGAGGCACAGAGGGGATATGCAGCGTGGTTACGGTGACACTATGGGACACACAGGAGCAGGGACTGACATCGAACCTAGGTCTTCGCAGCCTAAAGCCCATGCAGTTTATATTCTGCCACCTGCCTCCTGGAGAAAGAAAGAAAGCAGCCCGCAAGGGACACGGCCCCACTGCAATCCCTTCTCCTTTCTCCTCTTGGGATTTGGGGTATGCACATATATGTGCCCAGTGTTTTACAAGTCACCTGGTCCAGGATTCAGACGGCACACTCGGCCAAGTGGGATCCAGTCACCTTAACCACCACGCCACTGACTGGCCCAGAGAATTCACTGAGAGGTCAGCATCTCTGATGATCCTCAGGAGATGTGAAAATGCCCGTCAAGGAAGAATTCCATCTTGGCTTCGGTAGGAGCCCAGTACTCAGAAAGGGGGCCTGGGCAAGGCATGTGCTCGTCATCTTTGCAACCACCTCTGAGCTTCTACATTAGCTTCATTTTACAGAGGACGAAACCGAGGCACAGAGGGGATATGCAGCGTGGTTACGGTGACACTATGGGACACACAGGAGCAGGGACTGACATCGAACCTAGGTCTTCGCAGCCTAAAGCCCACACGCTTTCTACTCTGCCACCTGCCTCCCCAGGAACCTGCCCAGACCGCACCTCTCCCAGAAGACAGGCAGCTGCAGGCGGAACAGCTGGGGCTGGCACTCGGGCCTTCCCTGTGCTCACGGCAGGGCTTACCCAGGGCAGGGAAGCTGGGTGCCTTCCGGGCCACACCTTTCCCTAGATGCCCTGTTAGTCTCCAAGCAGCAGAGGAAGGAAGGAAGAGATGAGACATTGTCAGCTGAAATCAAAGGCGAGGCAGCCGGAGGACAGTGCTGAAGGCGTGGTGAGAGCTATGGCACCGACTCTACTAACCTAAGAGGAAGACAGGCGTTTCCTCGAGCTTAAAGTCTGGCCTCCTTCCCTAGGAGCTGTGTTACCTCACCTAACGCTCTCCGACACCTCCGTGAGGATACCCGGCAGCCAATCCTACGGCTACTGACTGACCAAGTGCCAGCCACGTGTCTGGGGTGGTGGCAGCACTGGGACAGAGTGGGGAACAGACTCCAGTCACCACTGACCAGCCACGGGCCACGGAGCAAGTTACTCCACCTCTCAGCACCCCAGCATCCTGGTCTCTAAAGTGGAAGGGCAGACCCAGACCGCCCAGTGCCAGCTTGGTAGCTCAACATGTTAGCTGCCTTCTGTCCTGAGGGGAGTTCTAGTTAAAAACGCTCGATGGATCACATGGGTTTATTTCTCCTTTCCTAGCCAGGCCCCCTGATATGACCAGAAGGAGAAAAAAGGTATTAACCAAGCAAGACAAAGAGACAGAGGAAGTGGCTCTTAGAGCCAGACGGTCGCCATCTAGTGGCCCAGGGAAACAACTACAAGGTAAGTGGGTGCCTGGGAAGGATGGCGAATTCTCTCCACTGGAGACTGGACTGCCAGGAAGGAACCACCGGGGTGGTCTTTCTCTTCAGAGTAGCAGTCTTTACGTTACATAGATTTTGCTCCTTGTTTTGGAGTGAAATGGGAATGATGCTGAAAGATGGGAGAGAACAGACAATGGTGGAAAGAAGGGCTAGAGAGGAAATGGATACAGAAAATAGGTGAGAGGAAAAGGATGATGTGAAAAATGATGAATCTTGGTCGAATGGAATCAAGTGTCCAAGTGTGTGAGGGTGCCAAAGGGGGGAAGAAAAAGTGCACATTGCAGTTCTGCTTTTCTGTGCGACTCAGAGAACAGACTCCTGGATCCCGGCAGTGCAGGCGAAGGCGTCCATGTGCTCCCCAGGCTCCCTGCACACTTCGAGGGACAAGCGGAGGTAGTGCACTCACACCCAGGCCCAGTACCAGACTCACCCGGCGGGCGCAGCCCCGACCCCCGGCCCTCTGCTCTGGGTTCAGCTAAGCGCTGCCCTGAGGCCAGTCTCACCTCGCGGGGGCCGATGGAGCGGGCCGCCTCCTCTCCAAGCGTAGCTGTGTAGTAGGCCAGATTCTGGCTCATCACCTCGTCATTGGGGAAGAAGAGGAGATAGGTCTTGGCACATTCAATCGCCTGGGTATAGTTCCCAACTGCAAAGCAAACAAAAGAAACTGAGAAGGGTCTACCAGGAGCACTTAGTCTCAGCGAAGCTTGAGACTATGATGAAGGTCCAGACACTTGCCACTCAGTATGATGCCCTGATTTTGGACGGAGCAGTTGTGGAATACACTTGAATTGTAATTCTTTTTTTTTTTTTTTTTTGAGAGGTTTTTGCTATAGAGTGCATGTGCTCACCAGAAAGACAGACAGAAAGCGAGAAATCACTCCCCTCCCCCAGGGGATGGCCATGTTGCAGTCCCTTCTCCTCCATTTTCCTCTTGGGATCTTAGGCACACACGCATGCACACAGGCCCAGCATAAGTTTAAGCCACCAGGTCTGGGACTCGAACTGCGGTTGACTACATGGGAGTCCAGCGATGTAGCTGTTACGCTATCTGCTGATCCCATAATTGATCTTAAGCTGTTCAGCTCCCTCTGGGATGCCTACCATTGGGACAGAAAAGACTCAGAACTCCCTTCACGTCCACATCTTTTTTAAAAATTTTGTTTATTCATTCATTTATTTTAATTTGACGAGAGAGCGACAGAGAGAGACAAAGTGAGAAAGCAAGCTGCCAGGTCCAGGACTTGGACCACGGTCAGCCATGTGGGAGTGTCCAGCACCCCAACCACCATGTCACCTGCAGGTCCCCCATGCCCACATCTAAAAATTCACAAATAAGGGGTAAACAAGTGGCATGGTGGTTTAAAGTGAGGACTCCCACATGGCTGACAATGGTTGAAGTCCAGGACTTAGCAGCTTGCATTCTCATTTTCTGTCTCTGTCTCTCTCTGGTGAGCACAGGAGCCTTGTCACAAACTAAAAATAATAATAATGATAATTAAAAATAAACATATAACTTTTTTTTGGGAGAGGTTTTGGGTATAGGGTGCGTGCACTCGCCATACAGACAGAGAGAGAGAGAGAGAGACAGAAAGTGAGAAATCACTCCCTGGGGGGATGGCCATGCTGCAATCGCTTCTCCTCCATTCTCCTCTCTGGATCTCGGGCACGCACACACATGTGCCCAGCATGAGTTTTAAGCCACCAGGTCTGGGACTCGAATCACGGTCGACTACATGGGAATCCAGTGACATAGCCATTACGCTAACTGCTGATCTCTATGTAATTAGTTTTTTTAAAAACTCACAAATAATTCAAATACCTCAATACACCTAATCATTAGAACAACATCAGGAATAGTCCTGTCATGGCCGGCAGGTGGCATGGTGGTTAAGGGCGCTAGACTCCCACATGGCTGACCATGGTTTGAGTCCTGGGACTGGTGGCTTGCTTTCTCACTTTTTTTTTCTCTTTTCTCTCTCTCGCTCTGTCTCTCTCTGATCAAATTAAAATAAATAAAGTTAAATTTAAAAAAAAATACAAGTTAAAAAAAAAAAGGAATAGTCCCCTGTCTTCCTACCTTCTTTCTCTTGTGGGTTTTCAGAACAGGAGGAAGATGGTAACAGACTGCCTCTTTGGCAAAACAGGTTTTGTTCATGTGATTTCATCTCCTCAACTCAATTATAACTATTACATACTCTTGAACGCGCTGTCATGCTTAGCACACAGCAGGAGCTCGGTGAAGGCCTGCTGGTTTGTTGGCTTTCTGGATACTGAGGGCCCCTGAAGTGCATCAGTGCAGTGCTAGGGAGAAAGGCTGAAAAACGCTCCGTGGACCAGCTCATACAACAGCTTACTCACTGCTAGGCAGCGGGCCCTTGAACAATGTGGGGGGTTCCAGGTAAGACCCCTGCACAGTCAGAAATCTACAGATATGGGGCTGGCAAGTGGCATGGTGGTTAAAGGCGCTGGACTCCCACATGGCCAACCACGGTTCAAGTCTTGGACCTGGTGGCTTGCTTTCTCATTTCCTATCTGTCTCTCTCTGATCAAACTGGAAAATAATAATGATAATAATAATGAATAAAGTAAAATAAAATAATTCTTTTAAAAAAAGAAAAAAGAAATCCACAGATAACTTTAGACTCCCCTAGAACTTAACTACTAATAACCTACTATTGAGGGGCCAGCAGGTGGTGTGGTGGTTAAGAGCGCTGGACTCCCATATAGCCAACCACGGTTCAAGTCCCACACTTGGTGGATTGCTTTCTCACTTTCCCCTCTCTCTCTCATAAAATAAATAAATAAATAAATAAATAAATGAAATAAATAAAGTGAGTCTTAAAAAAAAACAAAACTCCTGATAGATGAGACCCCTTAAAACAAAACAAAACAAAACAAAAAAACCTACCATTGACCAGAAGCCTTACTGATAACACAAGCAGTCAATTAACACATATTTTGTATGTTATATACTGCATTTTGAAAAAGAATCATTTATTTGGGCTGGCAGGTGGCATGGTGGTTAAGGTGCTGGACTCCCACATGGCTGACTGTGGTTAGAGTCCCGGACCTGGTGGCTTGCTTTCTCTTTCTTTCTCACACACACTCACTCTCACTTTGTCCCTCTCTGGTGAAATTAAAATAAGTACATACATAAAGTTAAATAAATTAATTCTTAAAAAAAGAATTATTTAATTTTATTTATTATTATTTTAATTTGCTGAAGGGTACATGCACTCATCAGAGAGAGACAGAGAAAGAGAGAAAGTGAAAAAGCAAGTGCCATGTCTGTGACTCGAACTGTGGCTAGCCATGTGGTTAAGGTCCAGCACCTTAACCACCACACTACTGCTGTCTCCATTATATATTGTATTTGCCTTTTCTCTAGCTTACCATAAAGTAATCTATGCTGTTGTTTATTTGCCCAGCATGAGTTTCAAGTTGTCAGGTCTGGGACATGAACCGCAGTCGACTACGTGGGAGTCCAGTGATGTAATCATTATGCCATTTGCTGGTCTCTCTCCTAGCTTCCTGGGCTGCTGATATTGGCTTTCAGGGCCAGTGGCTTGAAATGAAGTATTCAGGGGTCACATAGCATGGCGCCCCCCACAGCCCAAAAAGAAGCCGAGAAAGTGCAGGGGCCACAATGCCTGCCTCCCCTGCTTTTAGAGATTTTAAGGCAGCAGAGAAATAGGAAAGTCGACTTACCATTATAGTAGGCAAACTGCAGATAATTATAATGCGATGGGAGGAAGTCTTCAAAGGGCTTCTCTCGGCTTGGGTGGGAAGCGAGCTCGGTGACGCAGTTCTGCTTGCAGCTCAGGACCTGGATGTAATGATCTGAAAGCAACCCAAGAGGAGAATAACTACGGTGCCCATCTTCAGGATCCCAATTCTGGTGAAGATGAACGAAGTCGAGTGGAAGCAACTGTTAGTGAGATGGGCAGATGTAAGGAACTGGGAAAGAGGTGAAGGCGCAGGGCCTGTGCTCTCGGGACATGGACCTTCGAGCCCCGGGAGGCCGGCGCACCTGTGATGGCCTGGAAGAGATCGGCATTGTACTCCAGGTAGTTGTAGCCGTCGTAGTCGTAGGGCCCCTCGCAGAGGGCTCGGCACTCCTCATAGGCCACGAAGTACTCTCGCAGAGCTGTCTCCAGGTGCGGTATGGCCTCCTGGGGCTGCTCCTCCGAGTAGAGTCGCACGCCCAGGCGAAACGCATGCTATGGGAGGAAGGGGTACTCAAAGACTGGCCGCCGTGGGACCCTCTCCCCTTGCCCATGCTCACCTTCACCTGGGCCCTAATTTCCTGCTAGAAGGGGGTTGTTCCATAACCAAGGCCTTTTGTAACAGTCTTTACCTGTTCCTTTCTTTTCTTTTTCTTTTTTAAAAGGTTTGCATATGTTTTAAATTATTTATTTATTTATCCACTCACTTATTTATTTATTTATTTATTTTAAATTTGACTAGAGAGAGAGAGGGGAAGTTGAGAAAGCAAGCTACCAGGTCTGGGACTTGAACTGTGGTTGGCCACATGGGAGTGTCCAGCGCCTTAACCACCACGCCACCTGCTCGTCCCATTACCTGTTCCTTTCAAAATGTAAAGACATTGAGTTCTTTTTTTTTTTAATAACTATTTATTTTATTATTTATTTATTCATTCATTGATTTTTAATTTGACCAGAGAGAGACAGAGGGTGAGAGTGAGAGAGAGAGGAAGTGAGAAAGCAAGCCACCAGGTCCAGGACTCGAACCCTGGTCGGCCATGTGGGAGTATCCAGCACCTTAACCACCACGCCACCTGCTTGTCCCTACATTGAGTTCCTAATCTGAATGACAGATGTATGGGAGTTCATTCTAACTTTTTTTTTTATTTTGCTAGAGGGCATGTGTGCTTGCCAGAGAGAGACAAAACACCCTCCCACGGGGCATGGTCACTCAGTAATCCATTGCCCTTCATTTTTGTTTCCCTTTGGAATTATGGGCACGTGTGTGCAGGTACCTGACGTGTTTTTCAAATTGCCAGTTGCAGGGCTTGAACCCTATAGTCAGCCATTTGGGATTCAGCTGCCTTAACCACCAGGCAATGAAGCTGGCCTGTTCACTATAATTTTCAGATATACACAATTTACATTTCCTTTTTTCAATTAATTTTTCTTTTAAAGTAATTATTTATTTAATGTTATTATTATTTTAAAATTTGCTATAGGGCATGTACATTCACCAGAGAGAGACGGGGGATGGGGGGAGTAAGAAAGTAAGCCGCCAAGTCCAGGACTTGAACCACGGTTGGCCATATGGGAGTCCAGTGCCTTAATCACCATGCCACCTGCTGGTCCCACGATTTACTTTTTTTTAAAGAGAGATTTTTGCTATAGGGCACATGTGTTTGCTGGAGAGGCAGAGAGAGACAGAAAGTGAGAAATCACCCTTTGGGGGAATGGCCATGCCATAATCCCTTCGCCTCCATTCTCCTCTTTGGATTTTGGGCACACACATGTTCAGTGTGAGTTTCAAACCGCTGGGTCTGGGATTTGAACTGTGGCGGACATGTGGGAGTCCAGCGATGTGACCATTACCCCATCTGCTGGTCCCCACAATTTACTTTTAAAAGTCATTTTGGGGGCTGGAGCTGGCATGGTGATTAAGGTGCTGGACTCCCCCATGGTAGACCATGGTTCGAGTCTTGAACCTGGCAGCTTGCTTTCTCATTCTCCCTCTCTCTCTCTGGTCAAACTGAATAATAATAATAAATAAAATTAAATAATTTTTAAAATAATTATTTCATTTAACTTTATTTATTCATTTATTTACTTTAATTTGACCAGAGAAGGACAGAGCCAGAGTAAGAGTGAGAGAGAGAAAAAGCGAGAAAGCTAGCTGCCAGGTCTGGGACTCAAACCACCCTTGGCCATGTGGAAGTCCAGCACCCTTAACTACCATGCCATTTGCTGGCCCCAAAAGAATTCTTTTTTAAAAAAAGATCATCTTTCTGTTGTTTATAATAATATTATTTCTCAATTATTAAATATTAAAAAATAGACTCTTTATAAAAATGCTATATTATCACAGACAATATCTCTTATGGAATAGACTTTTGCTGCTAACCAAATGAAATAAGGACACTGAGGAATATGGTACCACTTACTGTATTGAAAATCAAACACCCATACAACCGAAAGAATTTGACTAGCAAATTAATGATCTCTACATAAAATACACTAGCATGCAGCCATTAAAAAGTGAGTTTTGGGGGACCAGCCGGTGGCATGGTGGTTAAGGTGGCTGGACTCCCACATGGCTTACCATGGTCTGAGTCTCAGACCTGGTGACTTGAAAGTCGTGGCTGGCACATGAGTGTGTGTGTGACCAAAATCTCAGGAAGAGAATGGAGGAGAAGGGACTGTGGCATAACCATCCCTCCTCGGGGGTGATTTCTCACTTTCCCTCTCTCTGTCTCTGGCAAGTACATGCACTCGATGGTACAAACCTTGAAAAAAGTATGTTCTCAAAGAAAATCTGAAGACATGAGAAAAGGTCCATAAGATATTAGGTCAATCTGATGTTGCAATGTAACATCGAATTAGGTGAAGAAAAATTAAATATGGAATATTGAAAGATGAACTGGAGCCGGCCATGTTGGATCCGGCTCCCCTGACTGCTACACTATGGGGCCAGCCCAGACACATTGTTCTAATGTTGTACAATGAACCTTTATTACTTCTGTAATGAAAAGAACAGCCCTGGGGACCAGCAGGTGGCGTGGTGGTTCAGGCGCTGGACACTCCCACATGGCCTCTCACTCTCACCCTCTGTCTCTCTCTGGTCAAACTAAAAAAAAAAGAATAAAAAAAGAAAAAGAAAAAAAACAGCCCTAGTAAATGTCACTCAAAAAGAGAGAGTGAGAGAAGCGGGGATAAAGGTTTTTCACCATGTGGGGCTGGGCCTCAAGGTCCTTGAAGTCGGCCTCCTTCACTCCAGACATGGTTTGGTAATAGTCCAGGTTCTGCTGCATCTCCATGTGCTCGGGGTTGCCCACGAAGAAGGTGTGAGCTGCTGCCACAGCTTTGTCCAGCTTGTTAATCTAAGATAAAGCACGAGAATGCGATGTTCACATCCAAACTCCGCGGGTGTGTGTCCAGATGTGCAGTCTGGGGTAAACAGGAAGTCCCGGTCTACCCAAGTTGCTTTCTCAGTGTGCCCAGCCCCTGCCAGCCCCACAAAATACATCTACATACTAGAGACGGGGAGCACGGCGCCTGGGGCAGATTTGTAGCTATTTCCCAAATCAGGCTTAGGGGCTTCCCAAGTCACAGGGCGCAGTGCTTCAGCAGTATAAATGTTCTCTTTTAAAACAAGGTCATATTGTGTGTGGGGGGGTGCTATGGAAGACTGACTGCCTGAGTAACCTATTCTCAAAATTCAAACGTAGTGCCTGAGCTGGAGAATGTCTAAGACTTCAAGCTTTAAAGGGTAGGGAAGAAAGAGCCTAGAAATTGGGTTTTTTTTTTAGAGTTCTTTCTTTTTTTCTTTTTTTCTGCTATAGGGCACATGCCCTTGGCAGAAAGTCAGAGACAGAGAGACAGAAGCAAGAAATCACTCCCCATGGGGGATGGTCACACTGCAATCCCTTCTCCTCCATTTTCCTCTTGGGATCTTGGGCACGCACGCATATGCACCCGGTGTGAGTTTAAGTCACTGGGTCTGGAACTCGAACTGCGATCAACTACATGGGAGTCCAGCGACGTAGCCATTATGCCGTCTGCTGGTCCCAAGCGTAGGAATTTTTCTAGGAAATATGTTTTTCTCCCTTTAAAATAAAATCAAGTGGTTTTGATACATTCAGGGAGAAGGCAGGTGCTGAAAAACTCTCGTGTCCTATATAAAATCTAGACATGTTATCTTCTGACTCAAAGTCCAGGGCTCCTGAGGCTAAAAGAAAAGACTGAAAGAAATCTGAGGAAAATGTGCTACCTACCAGTTACGCCCTCAACAATGGACTCACATATCAAAGTAACACAGGTTCTTAATAAAGAACCCAAAGTAATTCACTGATGATCTCGTCGCTAGTTAACATGGGCTTTGCTGTCAGGCCAGAGACAAATCTAGGCTTAATTATTCACTTACTGGGCATTACACAAGTTACTTAAAATCCATTCTCTAAACTCAGCTCCTTAATCTGTCATCTGGAGACAGTATTCACCACCAACCTCGCAGGACTGTTGGAAGAGTTAAATGAGATAATACATGTGCAGCATGTAACTCATGGGGTTGGGCACAATTTCAGCATTAAATGTTGTGTTTTTTTGAGAGATTTTCGCTATAGGGCATGTGCGCGCTCGCCAGACAGACAGAGAGAGACATAGAGACAGAAAGCGAGAAATCTCCCCCCAGAGGGGGTCGTCACTCCACAATCCCTTCTCCTCTATTCTCCTCTTGGGATCTTGGGCACGCACATGGGCCCGGCGTGAGTTTTAAGCCACCGGGTCCAGGACGCGAACCGCGGTCGATTACGTGAGAGTCCAGTGACATAGCCATTACGCTAACTGCTGGTTCCCAGCACTAAATGTTAACCACTATTATCAATATGCTAAGAATTTGTTTTTCCTTATCGCTTGTACTGTAAATGCATACTAAAGGAGTCAGCCTTGGTTAGGTGATCCAGCATGAATAATTTCCCATTTCTGTAGCTCAGTTTCTTTTCTTGTTTTCTAGATTCAATTTTGAAATATTGAAGTGTACTTTATTTTATTTTATTTTATTTTTTTGCTATAGGGCACATGTGCTTTCCAAGAAAGACAGAGAAGAAAAGTGAGAAAGCACTCCCTAGGGGGGTGGCCATGTCAAAATCCCTTCTCCATTTTCCTCTCAGGATTTTGGATACATGCATGTATATACGGATGCCTGGCATGATTTTCAAGCTGCAGGTCTGGGACTTGAACCATGCTGTTGTCCATATGGGATCCAGTGTCTTAACGACCATGCCATCTACTGGCCCTGTAGCTCAGGTGCTTTGACCGTACAATTAGAAATTCTCTCCATCTGTCCCTTTCATGGTCTTATTCTCGCTCCTTTATCTTTCAGCACTGCTTCCTCCCACCACTCTCTGTTCTTGCCCTCCTAACTTTCCTTCCCTCCTGTGGACAAATGCACACAGCTCTTAAGGCTCTTAATCACGGGCTCTGTCTACTTTCTCCTTCCTTGGCTCATTCCGCAAGGCTGCCAGAGCTAGCAATCTTTTTTTTTTGGAGAGGTTTTTGCTATAGGGCATGTGTGCTCACCAGAAAGACACAGAGAGACAGAGAGACAGAAAGCGAGAAATCACCCGCCAGGGGAGATGGCCACGCAGTAATCCCTTCTCCTCTATTCTCCTCTTGGCGGGATCTTGTGAGTTTAAGCCACCGGGTCCGGGACTCGAACCGCAGTCAACTACATGGGAGTCCAGTGACACAGCCAATACTACCAACTGCTGGTCCCCAGAGCTAGCATTCTAATAACTGATTCTGGGGAAACCTGCAGAGTCCTCCTCCCAACAAGGCCTCACTTCCCTTTCTAGTCTCCTCTCCTGTTGTCCCCACACACCACAACCACAACCACAACGAACTTTAACCTGGCCGCGTCGTGCTTTGGGTCTACTTTTCCGTCTGGAACAGCGTCCTTCCTCTCTCCATAGCAATATTTAGGACAAGCTTCGAAGTCACCTCCTCTTTGAAGTCCCCCTACTTTCTCTGAGACGAAGGTAGAGTCTCCCTAGTCTGTGCTCCCCAGCCCTATGTCCACTCAGTAGCCCTTACTGCAGGGATTCTTTTTTTTTTTTTAAGAATTATTTTATTTAACCTTATTTAATTTTTTTTTTTTTGAGAGGTTTTTGCTCTAGGGTGTATGCACTCACCAGAAAGACAGAGAGAGACACAGAAAGCGAGAAATCACCCTCCAAGGGAATGGCCACACTGCAGTTTCTTCTCCTCCATTCTCCTCTCGGGATCTTGGGCAAGCACGCACCTGGGCCCAGCGTGAGCTTAAGCCACCGGGTCCGGGACTCGAATTGCAGTCGACTACATGGGAGTCCAGCGATATAGCCATTATGACATCTGCTGGTTCCCCTTATTTAATTTATTTTAATTTGACCAGAGAAAATCAGAGTGAGAAAGAGAAAGTAAGCCACCAGGTCTGGGACTCAAACCTCAGTCAGCCATGTGGCAGCCCAGGCCCCTAACCACCACGCCACCTGCCAGCCCCACTACAGGGATTCTTGTTAGCAAAGCAAGACAAAACAAACAGTCAAGCATCTCAATTACCTGTACAAGAACTGGAATGTGGTAGGAATTCAGTAAATGCTTATCAAGGAATCTTAGAAAGTGCTCAGTGACGTGACCAAAGACAGCTTATTTTTTTGTTAGTTTTTTTTTTTTTGAGAGAGATTTTCACTGTAGGGCGTGTGCGCTCGCTCACCAGACAGACAGAGAGAGACACAGAGACAGAAAGCGAGAAATCACCCCCCAGGGGGGATGGTCACGCCGCAATCCCTTCTCCTCCATTTTCCTCTCGGGATCTTGGGCACGCACGCACACGCGCCCGGCGTGAGTTTTAAGCCACCGGGTCCGGGACGCGAACCGCGGTCGACTACGTGGGAGTCCAGCAACATAGCCATTACGCTAACTGCTGGTTCCCAGTTTTTTAGGTTTTTGCCATAGGGTGTGTACCTTTGTAGAGAGAGGTGGAGAGAGACAGCGAGAGAGGGAAAGGGCAAAAATCACCCACACCCTTAGTGGGGATGACCACTCCACAATCCCTTCTCCATTGTCCTCTTGGGATATGGGGCATGCTTTGCACGTGGGCCCAGCATGTTTTTCAAGTTGTGGGGTTTGGGACTTGAACTGCTGTCAGCCATGTGGAAGTCCAGCACCTTAACTGTCATGCTGTCTGCTGGCCCCAATATAGCCCTTTTTTTTTTAATTTATTTTTTCTTTTGGAGAGGTTTTTGCTATAGGGCGCATGCGCTCGCCAGACAGACAGAGAGAGACAGATAGAAAGTGAGAAATCACCCCCCAGAGGAGATGGCCACGCCACAATCCCTTCTCCTCCATTCTCCTCTCAGGATCATGGGCACACACGCACATGCGCCCAGCGTGAGTTTAAGCCACTGGGTCCGGGACTTGAACTGCGGTCGACTATGTGGGAGTCCAGCGACATAGCCATTACGCTAACTGCTGGTCCCAATAGCCCATTATTTTTATTTCAGCCCAACACTATTCCTAGTCATTAGGAAGAGTGGAGGGGACATGTGTACGCAGAACGCTTGTGGAGAGGCAGAAATCTGGGATCCCAAGAATCTCTAAGTCTCTCCTCGGTTGAACTGAAGGCCTGTTAAACTACAGACATAAAAGATGAGGCACAACGCCTTCTTTTTTCTCCCTCTCAGTAAAGTAGGTCTAAAAATGCCATCTACTTCACAGGATCTTGTGAGGTTCAGAGTACATGAACACAAAGAGCTTGACACAGCGCCTGGAAGTCCAGTGCCCGCCGCCAGCACCGCCGCCAGCAGCACCCAAGCCTGCCGCCCTTAGACTTAGGTCACTCTGGCATTCCTCAAAGTACTCATTTTCTTTGGAAGTCAGACAGAACACGGAGAGGGTCCTCCAGAAAGAGCGGCAGGCAACCCCTGCTGGCGACGTGGCAATCCCACGTCCTGTAAGGGAGCTGCTGGACTCGGCAGCAGGAAAAGCATCACTGGAAAGCGAACCGGAAGGAAGATATTGCAGAGAGCTCACAGCTTCTCCCTCGCACAGTTACAATGAAATCTGGACGGGAGCCCCAAGCTGCCGCTTCAATTCCCTCTTGGAGGCCCCCTGGGCAACGAATGAACAAATTTGGCTGAGCCTCTGCAGTAACCCCGGCTGGACCTCTGGGATTGCCATCTGCCCATGTGAACTGGGCAAGGCAGGTCTCCAGGGATCCGAAGAGAGGTCCCCAGCCATGAAGGCACTTTCCCTTTCCACGGACACGGTCGCCTTCAAACCACTCCTCCCCCGAGAAGGGCCCAGTCCGCCCGGCCCCGGGCAGGTCTGCACCTTGAAATAGGCAACCTGCAGGTAGTTGTAGGGGCTCCGCTTGCGGAACTCCAGCTCCAGCTCCTCGCTGAGCGAGTGGGCGGCCGACCGCCCCAGACAGCGGCGTAGGCAGGCGGCGCGGTGCAGCAGGCCCCCGAAGAAGCGCAGGTCGTGCAGGGCGGCGGCGCCCGAGGCCGGGGCCAGGCTTGGGACCACGTCGGGGTCCAGCTCCCACGGGACCTCGGCGGCACACCGGGTGCTGCAGCGCAGGCGGAGGGCCCGCAGGGCGGCCCGCGAGCGCAACGCCCGCTCCATGCTCAGGACCACCCCGGCCCAGTCCCCGCGCGCGTAGGCCGCGGTGCCTTCGGCGAAGAGGAGATCAGGAGCTGCCATGTCCAATCCCGCCTCGGGCTCG